GTCCCTCTATATTGCCAAGTGGTCTGTCCCTTTATACTGCCAAGTGGTCTGTCCCTATACTGCCAAGTGGTTTGTCCCCTCTATACTGCCAAGTGATCTGTCCCCTCTATATTGCCAAGTGATCTGTCCCCTCTATACTGCCAAGTGGTCTGTCCCCTCTATACTGCCCAGTGGTCTGTCCCCTTTATACTGCCAAGTGGTCTGTCCCCCATACTGCCAAGTGGTCTGTCCCTCTATACTGCCAAGTGGTCTGTCCCCTTTATACTGCCACCAAGTGGTCTGTCCCTCTATACTGCCGCCAAGTGGTCTGTCCCCTCTATACTGCCAAGTGATCTGTCCCTCTATACTGCCAAGTGGTCTGTCCCCTCTATATTGCCAAGTGGTCTGTCCCTCTATACTGCAAAGTGGTCTGTCCCTCTATACTGCCAAGTGGTCTGTCCCCTCTATACTGCCAAGTGGTCTGTCCCCTTTATACTGCCAAGTGGTCTGTCCCCTTTATACTGCCAAGTGGTCTGTCCCCTTTATACTGCCAAGTGGTCTGTCCCCTTTATACTGCCAAGTGGTCTGTCCCCTTTATACTGCCAAGTGGTCTGTCCCCTTTATACTGCCAAGTGGTCTGTCCCCTCTATACTGCCAAGTGGTTTGTCCCCTCTATACTGCCACCAAGTGGTCTATAGTCAGTTGTTGAAATGGACTCAAATGTATGAATACATGACACGTTGTTATGGATAACAACTCCTTTGAATTATATTCATTATAGAGCTAATTCCTGCTCTTTCAGCAGGTGAATGCAGAGTCAGTGAATATATATAGATAAAACATGTTTACACAACTCAAGGTAGGAGAATGTACAAAGATGACAATATAATCAAGAATCCACTCGATCAACATATCCACGCACGCAGAATGCCAGTAACATTTAGCACCATTCTTCAGCAATCTTATTTCGTATCTAATCAAAATATCTTTCTGACACATCTTTCAAACACCTCTGAATGATCAACCAATCGACTAAAGTTGACCAACATCGTCAGTCTCGGAGCATCACCAGAGCATTGATAATATTGGCCATTTTGTCCTTACAATACGTAGTACGACGCATTGCCTCTGACTTACCGAAGTTCGTTTGTTTGTCTGTTGTTTTACGCTGCGCCCAGACAAGTTGAGACAACCATATGATCAACAGCATAAGCATCGATCTACGCAAACGTACTGAAGTAATTATGAACATAAATTAATAATCTAACGCTGAATATCAATATGTTGTGAGCGGTGGCGTAGCCTAGTGGTTAAAGCGTTCGCTCGGCACGCCGAAGGCCCCGGTTCGATTCCCCACATGGGCACAATGTGTGAAGCCCATTTCTGGTGTGAAGCATCATGTCAATGTCGCCATGGATGTGAGACTGTTTATTTCCTTGAATGTCCATTGTATACTACTCAAAGACATAAACTGTTACAATCTTTAGAAAGTATTGTTAAACTTAGAACACTAGTTGGTATTAATCGTATCTTACTGGGCAATGCAGGTGTCTCATTTACTGCAAATCAGAATGTTTTCAAACATGTACATATCTATATCTCCAACAAAACGTTATCTCAGTTAACTTCTGTTGCACATATGCTATTATCGGGAGGGGGCTATTCTATCAATAAACACAATCAAACCTCTCAGTGGCAAACCTGTTTTATATTCGACAGTAATTGATAGTAAAATCAATTTTGAGAAGAGAAATCATTTATCAATTAATCACAACAAAGTTCTATTTACCCACAATCAAACTTCTCAGTAACGACCCTGTTTCAGGCTCACCCTGCTCTACTCACTAGACAGTGGACTGTTCCATTATACCTGTAGGTGTTACCCTAATTAACCTTCTAGTTCAGTGTCTGTGGATTGGGTGTCTGTCAACTGGGTGTCTGTCAATTCGGAGATAACCTTTTTGTCGCACGAGGCGACTAACGGGATCGGGTGGTCAGGCTCGCTGGCTTGGTTGACACATGTCATCGGTTCCCAATTGCGCAGATCGATGCTCATGCTGTTGATCACTGGGTTGTCTGGTCCAGCACGAACTCACACGTAACGCCGCACTCATCAATATTACAGCTGTTGGCTGCAGTCTGTATATAACCGAGTCTGGGACAGATAATCCTGTGATTAACATCATGAGCATCGATCTACGCAACGATGACATGCATCAAAGGGTCTATACGATCTCCTCGGTTATTTTACAAGTATGGGTTGCCGACAGTCAATTCTAACTCGGACCTTTACCGGTATCAACACACATGACATATCCGTCACAGGTTCTCACTTTCGTACAGTTTGACTCTTATCGATCATCGACCGCCTCCGTGGTGTAGTGGTTAGAGCGTCCGCCCGGAGTGCGGAAGGTCGCGGGTTCGATCCCCGACTGCGTCAAACCAAAAGACGTTAAAATATGGTACTTGTTGGTCCCTGCCTGGCGCTCGGCATTAATGGATACATCAAGGACTGGTCGGCTCGGAGTCAGTAAAATGTGTCTGAGTGGGGTATTCATGCTTCACTGCGGCATGGTATCTCAGTGGGCTAGCACTATAAAACCAGATTAAGTCTGGGCTAGTACAAGCAGCCGCACATACACATACACATGCATGCACGTCGTCATGTGAGCGAAATATTCTCATGAACGACGTTAAACCCAATTCCACCACCACCACTTATCGATCATCATTCTATGACACTCCTGTGAACTCACACAATGTAAACAAAATCGTTTCATCCAGAACATAAAAATTATGTCATCATACAAAGAGATTTACCATCTTTGTATGGAAGACTAGAGTCACAGACAACTTTTTGGCTCATTGAGTTATGTACTCGCTTGTGTTCATCTCAATTGGGTATCCTTATTTTCCTTTGAGTAACCAAATAAATTGTACCCACTTCACTCAAACTCAACTGGGTATTCTGCCATTTTCCATAAATTGTAACAATATAATAAAGTTTAAATGTTATTTATATTGGATCTGTAATATGAGAAACGATAAGAAAGACTGCAAGTTGCCAAGTTCAGGTGTTGAAATAGAACCTCTGAATATACATCAGTTATTTTATCTATGCATCGGTACGCAAACTATCATTCGACATTTTTGTGTGTACGCATGTAAGATCAAATTTATTGAGTATTTACAAAAATTCAAACGTACTTGTGCGCAATAGACTTAAGAAGAATTGAGTTTTCACATAAATATTTGCGTAATTTACGCAGATACGTAGCTTATCTGTACCTCTGTAAGACACTTTATGAATTTAATTCGTAATTGTTCGATAATTAGATATACTCTAAACATGACCATCACATAAACAACTAGCGCCTTTTGTCTGACCACAGTTGTGTCCCTTAGAACCGCAGGATTCGAACTGATTATGAATCGTACATTTCTGTGTCACATCTGTGCTATGGATGCACCATTGTTATAGCGTATACTTATTTGACGTCATTGTTGTTGTTGTTGTTAAACATCCCAGAAATGTCTGCATGTTAGCCAAGGATGATGAAACATCACCATCATATTTCTTTCCCACTTAATTACAGAGTGGAAATCCTGTCAACTTACGCCACAGTAAAGGCAACCTGGATGCTATGAAAAAAATGACTAACATCCGCGAGATGCAGAAGACAGATAAAAAATGAGACTTCTCTTCAATTCAGTTCGCGTTACATGAAGGACGTCAGCAACTGGTTTTACAGCGCATTCTCGGTATCCATCTTGGTGACTGGCTTTCCACTGCCAAACGTGCATATATATAAAGACTTTTCCTGTCATAGAAATGGCACTGTTTTATAAATAAATGTAACACATCAATTCCGTGCTCTTTAACGGATAGCTTCCAATTCTATTTGTAAAATATATAATGAAGTGTATGTATCCTTCAACAAGTTTCATTCTTGATCTCTGTAGGCTTATACAGTATTTTACAAACATGTAATGCATTTATATATGTTTTAAGCAACCTTCAACACATAAATCATTTTCAAGTTCAAAGTCTGTCAATATAAATTTGTTTAATTATTTAATAGTTTTATTTTTTTTTTCAAAAATGTGTTTTCATAGGCTAGTGATGCCATCTCATGTGTAAGTCATGTACAGTACATGGATGTACATACATGATTGTATGCAAATATATTGGTTGTCTCGCTCCGCACGTTGAACGGTGTAATTTGACCAAATTATCCTCTTTACTTAACTATTACTACTATTCATTACTTCTAGCTGATAAATATCTGGTTTGACAAAGTGCATTGTGACCCTATGCAATAAAACGTTCGTACATCTTGTGTTGACCTATATGCACAAACTAAAGTGGCATTTGCATTCATTCAACGACTGTCATCCAACACTTAGTACAAAACATTTAGTTTTATAAAAATCTTGTAGAAAATTGACCATAAGATGTTTAATTAAAAAATACGATTTGAAAAGCCATTCAACACTATACTTGAATCTATCTTTCTCGATTTATGTACTTTAAACTCGTTCATAATAGTCCTCTAGTTTATGACAGCGGTAGCCTGTCCGCCGATTTCTTCATAAAATGAAACCGAACGAAAACGTCCAACACTGAATTGGTGCTTGCAGGCATAAGCTGGGCCCCGTCTCGGATATCGCAACATACCGGCGCGCAAAGGGAGCCGAGAACTAGTTTACGTGCAGGGATTTCCCCTTAGATGACTGGGCTTCTGTCTACATGAACTAGTAAAAGCGTTTAGCTTGCTTCGCGCACCAATAGGAAAACTAGTCTTCCTTTTTGTAGGTGTTGACGTCACATTCTAGAGGTTTCCGGAAGATACGAGACTGTTGTACACAAATCCACGCTGGTGTAGAAACATGGAGAAGGTAAGGGGACTGGTATATATACAGGCGGTCTGTCAGACCACAGTCATACACCAAGCTGCAAGCTTACACGACTGTATACTACGGAGACATAGCGAGCAGAGAGGAAAAGCACACAGTCTCGACCAGTCAGAAATAACTGAAGTGACTTAGTTCAAAAAGATAACATTGAAGTTTGTTGTTTTGAAGAGAATGGCACCTAAAGGAAAATCCCCTGCGATCGGCATAGACCTGGGAACCACCTACTCTTGTGTTGGTGTGTTCCAGAATGGAAAGGTGGAGATTATCGCCAACGACCAGGGCAACAGAACGACGCCCAGCTACGTGGCCTTCACTGACACAGAACGTCTGATTGGGGATGCTGCTAAAAAACCAGGTGGCGCTCAACCCACAGAACACTGTGTTTGATGCCAAGAGACTAATTGGCAGACAGTTCGACGACAGTGCTGTCCAGAAAGACATGAAACACTGGCCGTTCAACGTTGTCAACAGTTCAGGTAGCAAGCCCAAACTACAGGTGGAGTACAAGGGGGAAAAGAAGACGTTTGCACCTGAGGAAGTCAGCTCCATGGTACTGAGCAAGATGAAGGAGACAGCTGAGGCCTACCTTGGACAACAGGTGACTGATGCAGTGATAACAGTGCCTGCCTACTTCAACGACTCCCAGAGACAGGCTACCAAGGACGCTGGGGCCATTGCAGGGCTGAACGTATTGAGAATAATCAATGAGCCTACTGCAGCTGCCCTGGCCTATGGCCTGGACAAGAACTTGAAGGGTGAGAAGAATGTGCTTATATTTGATTTGGGAGGTGGCACATTTGACGTGTCTGTGCTGACCATAGATGAGGGCTCCATGTTTGAGGTGCGGTCAACTGCTGGGGACACCCACCTAGGAGGGGAGGACTTTGATAACCGATTGGTGGACCACTTCCTGCAGGAGTTCAAGAGGAAGACCAGGAAGGACATCAGCAACAACGCACGAGCCATGAGACGTCTGCACACTGCATGTGAACGTGCCAAGAGAACTCTATCCAGCAGCACGGAGGCCAGTATAGAAATTGACTCCCTGTATGAGGGAGTGGACTTTTACTCCAAAATCAGCAGGGCCCGATTTGAAGAGTTGTGTTCCGATCTGTTCCGCTCCACTATGGAACCAGTTGAAAAAGCTCTGTGTGATGCTAAACTGGATAAGTCTCGTATCCATGATGTGGTGTTGGTGGGAGGCTCGACACGAATCCCCAAGATTCAGAAACTGCTGCAGAATTTCATGAACGGCAAAGATCTGAACAAGTCCATCAACCCCGATGAAGCTGTGGCTTACGGAGCTGCAGTGCAGGCTGCCATACTGAGTGGGGACTCCAGCGATGCCATCAAAGATGTTCTGCTGGTGGATGTTGCTCCTCTGTCCTTGGGTATCGAGACTGCTGGAGGTGTGATGACCAAGTTGATTGACAGGAACACAAGAATCCCCACCAAGGCTAGTCAGATCTTCACAACCTACTCCGACAACCAGCCTGGGGTCAGCATCCAGGTGTTTGAAGGGGAGAGGGCTCTGACAAAAGACAACAACATTCTGGGCAAGTTTGAGCTGACAGGTATTCCCCCAGCCCCCAGAGGCGTGCCTCAGATAGAGGTGACATTTAACATTGATGCTAATGGCATCCTGAATGTGTCTGCAGTTGACAAGAGCACGGGCAAGTCCAACAACGTCACCATCAGTAATGACCAAAGTCGTCTGAGCAAGGCTGACATTGACAGAATGGTGTCTGAAGCTGAGAAGTACAAGGAAGAGGATGAGAAGCACAGGGAGAGGATCGCTGCCAGGAACCACTTGGAGAACTACGTGTTCAGTGTGAGGGCCAGCGTTGACGAGATGGGCAGCAAGTTGGAGGATGTGGACAAGCAGACAGTAAGCAAAGCTTGTGAGGAGACACTGCGGTGGCTGGACAACAACTCCCTGGCGGAGAAAGAGGAATTTGAGCAGCAGTACAAGCAGCTGGAGAAACTGTGCTCCCCAGTCATGTCCAAACTTCACAGTCAGGGGAGTGGACAGCAGCAGGGTGGGTCCAGCAAGGGTCCCTCTGTGGAGGAGATGGACTAGACACACACAGTCAGGACTGACGTTATCTGTATTGAAATAAGACTTGTCAAATGTGTGTGCAATATTGTATGGATGTTGATGGATACATGACAATCTATCATTTTGTGAATTGTGTTATTTATTTTGAATGAACTGTTGATGGTGAAGTGTTGACATATCTGATATGTTTTTGAGTCAGCACACTTTACATGCTGATATGCTATGATGTTTGTTTAGTTTTGAAATAAATAATGAAAAGAATTTGATCCTGTTTTTTGTTGTTCATGCATTCAGATATACAGGCTGGTGATATCTGATCATTTGCCAAGACAATGTGGCAACACTTTGTACAAAGAGCATACACCTCAGCAACACTAGCTGTTAACTGAAACACATAAAAATGAGAACTGTGACAAAAGTAGATGCACATACAAATAAAATAACAGAAACAAAATATCCTACACCTGGAACAACATTAGCAGACTTATTTACTGAAACAGATGACCAAAACAGCACTAACACGTTCATTTTGACCTCAGGTATACCTAAAGGTATAGTGCCAGTATGGTCAAAGGGAGATAATCTATTAGCAAAAACGCTGGGAAAGGTTTGTCACTTTAAGTATACAATTGGAAAGAAAGAAGCTGAGCAGAATCTCTTATTTCGATTATACGTAATTTCCAAATTGTCAAACACAACAAATGCTGTATCTGGGATTACAATGTCTCGGTAAATTACAGATTCTAATAGTTTTGTTAGATTGGGTCCCATCCGAGATTCGAACCCCAGGCACCCTCAGCTAAGTCAGCTAACTAACCCACTCAGCCACTGCTGCTAGGGCATAAATGGAAGTTAGAAAACTGGGTGTAGATCAGTACTTTGTGACTTGTGTACCCCTGTGACAAGTTGCGGGGTAAATCAGCACAGCATCCCGTGGAAATACACAATGCCATTTAGAAAGTGGTCAACTGTAAAGTACAGAGTCTAGTACTTGTACACTACTTTTAGCATTATACTGGACATAGGACTTTCAGCATCGCACTTTGTGGTCATGAACTGAACAAGGGTGAGAAGCAAACACTCTATCCTGTGGGCTCTCCCACTCTTTGTATGCATGCAGTAAGAGGTGACCTTGCATAAGAGGAGTGCTGCTGTGACCAGGCTGGTAGAATTCAGATGTACAGGCTGGTGATGTTTGATCATTTGCCAAGACAATGTGGCAACACTTTGTACAAAGAGCATACACCTCATCAACACTAGCTGTTACCTGAAACACATAAAAATGAGAAGCTTCTGTGACAGAAGTAGATGCACATAGAAATAAAATAACAGAAACAAAATATCCTTCACCTGGAACAACATTAGCAGACTTATTTACTGAAACAAATGACCAAAACAGCGACCTCAGGTCTTTTGCTAAAGAAAACAGTTTAACTAAATTAGAATCAGTTGATTAACCAGCAGTTTTAGCAAAGAGCTATCTTTAAGGAGTGAGTGAGTTTTTAAATATTGACTGCTGTCTTTGTCAACATGATAGCCTATGCTGAATGAGACCACCGGTATGTTGTGGAACTTGGGCTGGTGTTTTTGTAGTTATTTACAAAAATGTTACCACTGGAATATATGAAAAAGCATTTGTTTTTGTGCCATTTGAGCGAAATATTCTTAAGTACGACGTAAACCCCATTTCACCTCACCTCTTTTGGAAACACCTACTTAAGTGATCGATCGTGTCATTCTGATCAATATCTTTGAGTTCAAATCACAGTCACAATCATGATGCATGATCGAGGAAGACATGAAACAGTGGAATCATGCAGTGAGTGAGTGAGTTTAGGTTTACGCTGCACTCAGCAATAGTCCAGCTATATGGCGGCGGTCTGTAAATAATCGAGTCTGGACCAGACGATCCAGTGATCAACAGCATGAGCAACGATCTGCGCAATTGGAACCGATGACATGTGTCAACCAAGTCGGCGAGCCTGACCACCCGATCCCGTTAGTCGCCTCTTACGACAAGCATGGGCTACTGAAGATCAATATTCTAACCCTGATCTTCACGGGTTGGAATCATGCAGGGAAAGGATACAGCCTCATACGACTACTTATTGACAAAGAACAATGAAAAACCAAATAATATGATAGATGGAAATATATGATTACGGGTGCTGAACTCTTTACCCCGTGTGTGTGTGCGTGTGTGCGAACTGATGGCCAGGAGAAACTTTACCACATGCAATAACAAACTGAAAGGTGTGTTTGGAATAATTAAAGTAGAAGATGAGTACAGTAAAATGTGAAAAGGGTGCCTAAATACAGCTACATGGTATGTGAGTTGTAGATCGAACTGAACTAATCATATCAGTCACATAACCCCCATTTTTTTAAATCACGGGATAACCTTATACTTGGTTTGTTGTTGGGGCCCCTCGGGATTACCAAGAGATTGTTATGAAATAAAGCTATCTTCTTCTGTCATACCTACATCGTGTTTTCTTCCTATGTTCACATCTCTGGGATTCAAACACGTCTACCCGTGAGGCTATGTTATTCTACAAGCTACTCTCCACCAACACGGCCACTGGGGACATATACGTGTATAATACAATGGTTTCAAGCCAAACCTTTGCTCTGGTTCACACATTAGGATCTGGTGGGATGTTTTAGTTTCCGCCACCAGAAGTGCATCCTTATTGTATGAAGATTTGCACACTGAGAGGGACAATACTACTCAGTTACTGGCACAAGAAATGTAGTTAGTGTTGCAGGTGCGAGGTAGATTATCAATCGGTCTAACGGGTGAACTGTGTTCGATTGTATTACTCCGAGTTTCAGAAAGACTAGTCTGTCTTCCAGACCCCAGAGGACAAAAAACAATATAAGAAGCAGTCCTTCGTCCTTCTCAAGTACATAATCATTGGGCAGGTCTGGAATGGTTCAGTCTGAAATTCTGAATTGTTCTGGGCTTCCTTTGGATTATATTGCCAGATAAGCTTTATGTCTGCGACTAAAGGTCTGTATACAGAAACACATTCACTCATACATTTCTTCTAAGGTCCCATTTCCTATTTTACTGTCAAACCTGTCGTTTTTATAAGTACGACAAATCACCCTTCTGGCTTCCTTCACGTGTAAATTATGTCGTATTATGGATTATGTTGTTAGAGCTTTCCCCAGGTAAATCGTGTACAGGTTTGGCAAGTTAAAATGAGACCACCAAGTCACCAGGAAATAGCCTATCATCATGTCTCACAATCTGCTCCACCGTTACTCATTTACTCTATTACTATTACGACTTTTTGTCGTTGAGCAATCAACCGTACCTGTCATCTTTTTGTCCCCATATATATATATATTGAGACGTGTACAGTTAATTTGATAGAAACTTTCCTCATTAGGTTGGTTGGTTGGTTGGTTGTTAAACGCCGCACTCAGCGCTGCACTATCTGACTGAAATGGTTGTTCGTTGGTGATACTTCATACATGATAGTGAGTGAGTGAGTGAGTTTAGGTTTACGCCGCACTCAGCAATATTCCAGCTATATGGCGGCGGTCTGTAAATAATCGAGTTTGGACCAGACAATCCAGTGATCAACAGCATGAGCATCGGTGACATGTGTGAACCAAGTCAGCGAGCCTGACCATCCGATCCCGTTAGTCGCCTCTTACGACAAGCATGGGTTACTGAAGACCAATTTTAACCCGGGTCTTCACGGGTCTTCCCCACTAGGGGCACCAGTTGTAAATCCTGAAGAGGTTAGGGGCAGGGGGCAGAGGTTGAGTGTCAGAGGGAGTCGGGGAGGTAAATAGAAACATCACAGTCTTCTAGGGTCAATCATAGAAAATAATACACATATTTGGGTGGGTGGTCATGGAAAAAAGAGACATTTAATAATATAATATTTTTGCCTCTTTAACCTCCCTCAAAAACCAATACATGTATATAGGGAGGGTAACACAAATATAACAAGCATTAATTAGGGATGGTAATTATGTTCAGGACAAAACAATCTCCTCACCACCCACCTCTATCTCACATGATAGGCCCTAATCACATCCGCTTTACCTTAAAAATACATGTTACCGAGTTTGTTTAACATACGTCCATTCAAGGCACACTGTATAAGAGAACGATCGAGCCTTCGACACTGATACTTAGGGCAGAATGTTAACAGATGTATGTGATGTGGCACCCAAAACACAGTTGTAACCAGGTGATTTTGTATTGCAAGCAAATTCAAATTACGTATCGAAGTATTACGTATTAATAATATATGTTAAGGGAAAATGAAACTAATTTTTCATGTAGTAAATTGTACGAAATAAGTGACACTATGACACCATTAGGGAATATACTTCACGTTTAATGCCGGTGACAAAAAAGTAAAGAACCTGCGTAAACTGGTACCCAGCTCTACGCGTCTTTCAGCCTGAGCGCAAGCGCTATACAAAGGGCAAACCAGTCAATATCTGAAGATGGGGATTCCCCGAATAATGACTGGGCTTCTGTCTACATAAACTAGTAAAAGCGCTTAGCTTGCGTCGTGTATCAATAGGAGGCCTAGTTTATCTTTGTAGGTTGTGACGTCACATTCTAGAGGTTTCCGGAAGATACGAGACTGTTGTACACAAATCCACGCTGGTGTAGAAACATGGAGAAGGTAAGGGGACTGGTATATATACAGGCGGTCTGTCAGACCACAGTCATACACCAAGCTGCAAGCTTACACGACTGTATACTACGGAGACATAGCGAAGCAGAGAGGAAAAGCACACAGTCTCGACCAGTCAGAAATACTGAAGTGACTTAGTTCAAAAAGATAACATTGAAGTTTGTTGTTTTGAAGAGAATGGCGTCTAAAGGAAAATCCCCTGCGATCGGCATAGACCTGGGAACCACCTACTCTTGTGTTGGTGTGTTCCAGAATGGAAAGGTGGAGATTATCGCCAACGACCAGGGCAACAGAACGACGCCCAGCTACGTGGCCTTCACTGACACAGAACGTCTGATTGGGGATGCTGCTAAAAAACCAGGTGGCGCTCAACCCACAGAACACTGTGTTTGATGCCAAGAGACTAATTGGCAGACAGTTCGACGACAGTGCTGTCCAGAAAGACATGAAACACTGGCCGTTCCGCGTTATCAACAGTTCAGGTAGCAAGCCCAAACTACAGGTGGAGTACAAGGGGGAAAAGAAGACGTTTGCAC